AAATATATTAATGGGCATTTTGATGAAAATTCATTGTATTTATCACTACCACTAGGATTGGAAACTGAATTAATGAAATAAGAGTTTGTTTGCAAATCCTAAGCATGCAGCTTTACCATAAAAGTACATATATTTTAGTGTTTAAATTTTCTTCAATGGACACTTTCCTCTTCCATGATGCTGCACAAACTATTGATAGCATAGATGAAAATAGCCTAAGCATTTCATTACCTTGTCTAAAATGACATGCTGATCTTAGAAGTTCTAAACAGTCTTTCTATAGTGGAGCATCACTTACTATTAGTTGAGCTATATTAAATGTGGGAATGTTTCAAATAGCATCATGTTGGCACCTAAAAATTGGCTTAAGAGATGACAGAACTCTTATATCTGAGAGTAACTAAAATCTACTGTAGTTCCTAGCTATTCAAAATTATACTTGAATCATATATGTTAGAAAAGTAATCCCTATTATAAAAATGGTTTCTGAACATTTTCCTAGACAGTCTTCTTCCAGTTTCACTGTTACTTTCCTTTTGCTTTCATGATTGGAAGGACATTAAACTGAAGAAATACAAGCAGTCTTTTGGCAGAATATTTCAAAATCTACCGATTCCAGAATAAAGGAAGTAGACAGCAGCTGTATAAGGGAAAAGGATTTTAATATGTTTCTGCTTCAGATATGGGTGAGGTTTACTCAGGTTAGTTTGTGTCATTTTTCAATTAACATGGACAGTGGGTACTTGGAGCCTGAGTTGGCCACTCTTGCTTTTATCTGCTCTGAATATCACCATGAAAAGCACATTAAACAAGTCTATCCCAAATTCAGATATATAAAGTGGAGAAGACATCCTGAAAATCTTAAATTATATGATTTATTTCAAACTTCTTTCAGTATCTGGTTGTCATTGTGATAACCACTATTAAGTAAAATTTAACTACCCTGTAGGTAAAAAGAGCACTTTTATGAAATCAAATCTTTGCAGAGTTTGGTAATTTCTCTAATAGACCTTTGCCATTAAGTACTTTGCCAACCTTCTGTGGAATCTGTGCCAGGTCTGAAGCAATCGCATTTGCCATGGCTTCTGTCATGGTACTGATCATTGACCCCAGAGAAAACAACACAATTCCGTGTTCCCCAGAGCTTTGCACAAAATTTTCCATTTCCTGTGCAAAGAGAATTGCTTCCATTAGAAAAAAATACAAGAACACAGCAAACTCTTTTAAAAACAGTGTCATTTTTAAAAAAATACGTAAATAATTAATTCAATTATGGGAAAATCTGATAAAAGTTTCATGAGAATAAATTTCACAATCTTTAAATGTATAATTTCAGTGAAATGTTTGTGTAATCAATGCCACAATCAATTATTTCTTGTACAAATACAAACTTCTGTTTAATATGTTTTTAAGTCAATATTAGGTTTTTTAAAGTCTGTATTCTTATGTTTTCATTTACTTCTAGGAAAACTGAATTTATTCATTTTCTCTTCCTTTTTTATCATTTACTCTTATTTTGGAACATAAACCATTATTGAAGATTTTTTTGTCACCCATGCACACAGTTATAATATACACATATATACTTCATTTAATCTGAAGCTTCTTTTATGGCTTATTTAGTGTTAAAAATGCATCTTAGCTAAAATATTTGTGATGGTGTGCTAGATAAAAATTTTCAATCATTTCTTGCATTCAGTTATTTAGGTTAGTTCTAGGGTATATTTTTATAAATAATTACTCGAGATGAATTATCCATTTTTGTTATGACTCTTCACATATACTAATGTTACTATGCTATATAGACAGCAAGTCTAAAAGTTGCTAAGAACTGATGCAAGTACAATTTTATTAATTTCTAAAAAAACTAAAATTTGAAAATTTGTACAATGTAGTAATAGATATAATTATTATTATTATTATTATTATTATTATTATTGCCATTATTCTGTTTTTGGTGTTCTTTTCTCTTTTTTCTCTTCATGTAATTCTTCTCCTAACACTGCTATATTTTAGATGATATTGTGTGCATTCAGGGTGGTATGGGCATAGACTGTATATATATTAATTAAGAAATTTTCATGTATGTATACTTGTGGAGTTCTTGCAAAGACTTAATAAATTTTCTTCGAAATGAATATTGTGTTTTTACCACTTTATCAGATTTCAGTTCTTATATTTCTGCCAATAAGATGGTAAACAAAAAGAACTTTAAAAAATAACATATATACTCAAACAGGTAAGAAATTTCATTTGGACATATATCTTAGAAATATGACAAATTACACTATGTTAGATTTTGTGTCCTTTCATAAGAACTGTCCTTATCTACAATCCCAGAGTTTATTTTAATTCACATCAATTATAGGAATTATGAGGTACTTAATTTCTTTACAGTGGATATTTCTTTGCACACATTCTGAAAGGTACTGTTGATTTCATGACCATATCTGAGAAGGTAACTTCCTGTGGTATCCTACAACTTGACCCATGGTGTTAAATAACTTTTTCAGTAAAATCCATCTCTTTTTACACTAAGTAGTAATATTATAGGATGTTAAGCGAGTAGTGGCCTTGATTCTGCATGCAAAACAAGGAAATGTTAAATTTGACAACAAATATTGCTGTGGGCTCACAAGGATGCTGTGGTACAGTTTTCTTTATGTAATCTGAAATACAAACAAAGAACTTCAGTGGTTCCCATAATATTTCCTCATTTCATCTTAATCTTGTTGCCTGCATTTATGCATTGCCTTTTAAACAAGTCTATAGCATTTCATTTTTTGTAACTTGAATTTTTGTCTTAAGATTTATGGGCATCAGATCCCACTTAATGAAATGCCATCTAAAGTGCTTCTGAAACTTTGTATAATTATACCAGAAACAAGGCACCAGTGACATCAATAGACCCACTCATCATTAATTCTGGATGACTGAATAAATGCTTCTGTTGTTTTCTTTCAAATATGTTGAATTTCCTTCACAAGAAACTCAATAGAAATTCAAATTTAATTGTATGAGTAGAAATGGTATATGTATGAATATGTTTGTCTAGATTGCAGTCACATGTTACAAATACCTTCTAATGCTTCCCAATTATACCATAATGCATCTCTGAAATCTCATCCATTGATACTATCTTTGGGGATTATTTTAAAGGCAGAAATCTGATAATCTCTTCCTATTTCAATTCTTTTTCTGTCTCTCTAATGTTTTCATTAGACATGGCTGACTATGATCTAGTTCTAAATTACCCAACTTGCAAAATCAGCATCATAATAAGCTTTCAGTTCTTGAGATTTGGTCTTCACATTTTAAAAAATATCTTTAGTTGTTACAGGTCTCACGACGGATCTTGGACTCACAGTGATCCTACTGATTTCAGCCTCCACAAAGCTGGAATTACAGACATGAACCACTTCACCTCGACTCTGTGGTCAGCTCACCCTGCCCTTGACATGGGGCTTCAGAGGCATGTGGTGTCAGTGTTCAAAGAAAGATCCCTGTGCCTACCTAAGCTTGTGTAAGCAAGGACTTTAGTCAGCTGAACTATCTAGATGACACCTGTACTTATCATTTTAACAATTCTATTTTGGTTCTTTACTTTTCATCACTTGGCCTGTTCCTGCACTTGCTCATTTGTCGTTATTAGCAATTTAAATGGGACAGAATATAATAAAAAAGAAAGTTCTCTTAGTATTTTAGTGCTTCCCTTTAAAGTTATAATTCACATAAATTTTATTACTTAATTTTACTCTATCTTTTCAAATAGTATATAAGATTTTAACGGGGCACAGTGTCTATGTTCTTTTATTTAACATATGGCAGGATACACTAGTCAGTTTATATATTTTGAATAACAATAGAATTAAAATATGTACAATGAAGGGCCAGCCAGATGACATGGTGAAATTGAAGGCCTATAGAGGAAGATACAGGATAATTGGGACTGGGAGTGGTGGCAAGCCCATTTAAGTCTAGTGCTTGGGAGACTGAAAACAAGATGAGCACTATGTCTGATCTCTGCATGAGACACTATAGAACATGCACTAAATACATAAAATTAAAAACAAAAACGTAATGTGAACAATGAGGAACAAAATTTAAGGGACACTATCCTGAAACTTCTCTGGTTCATTCTGTGTTCTTTTTCTGATGGGAATGAAATACATCCATTAGAGATGAAATCCAAGTATACTTGTTTTCAAACAAAGTCTTGCAATACAATCATTGAATTTGATATGTTACCCAGGCTTGTGTGAACCAGTGGATCTACTACCTCAGTCTCTGGATTTCTAGTATTACAGACATATGATACCAAACCCAACTAAAATATAAGTTGCTATTTAGCAAGCGACTGTTTTCCTTTTCTCATATCTTTCTCATTATGAGTCAAGACTGAAGGAATAGAGCTGAATATTCTCACTGAAAATTAAAACACAAATTAAAGCAAGAACATATTTACCTTAGGCAGTGGTTTGGGAGGTTTGCATTGGAGTCCCCCAACAAACTCAACATTTGGTAAGGTTGGACGAGGAAATTCCATATCCCAGTAGCTCCGAATAAGCCACATATCTGCCTTTCGCATTGTCTCATATAATGTAGTGGGTTTTCCTGTATTTCAAAGGAGAAAAGAAAGTAGAAAATGTAGATAATCTTCAATGACAAATATAGGTTGTGTAGAAATAATAATTTTATATTTTATATAATGGTCAAATGTTTCTGAGAGAAAAATAGATTCAAAAGACACTATGTCTGTAATATTACCTCACTGTATTCCCTATCAGAAGCCGACATTAAAATAATTATTATACAATAAAGCAAATATTTCTTTCTCTAATCAATTATAAGTAAATATTCAGCTTGAGAGTTAGGTGAGCCTACCATAGCCAAGGAAAAATGTCTTTCAGGAATTCCATAGATTCTACCCTTAAACAAATTGAGAACTAATTCAAGTGACCATGACTGCTATAAGACTGTGGCTGAAATTTTTGCAACTCCCATTGCTTTTGGTTCATTTATTAGTACGATACTACGTATTAGTCATTTATAAGCATTTGTTTACATCACTTGAGTAATGTGCAGAAATCACAGAAACACAGATTTGACCTTATACTTCACTGTAAGTCATTCTTTTTTCAAGAGAAAAGCATGATAAAATATAATATATAATTGCTACGCTTCTAAAGATATTAAACCTCTAAAATGGATGATTGGTACTGACACTTCATAGCATGTGTAATCATCAGAATATCCAAGTTATAACACATAAGTCTGTGATAAAACATCGTATTTTAGAAGAGAACAGTTGTCCTTTAGATAACACAAATTTCCTTGTTAATTTTAGGTAAGGATACTGATATGCTCATGAAAACAGTCGTTCCCTCAATGCTTAGATATTTTTGCTACAAACATGTAACACTTTCAACTCCTAGTCTTCATTCATAAATACATTAGGAAAGTGCTTAATAACTCTTATTTCAAATGAAAGGAATACAAAATTAATATAAAATTGCAAGTTTTAAGTCTGAAAGCATCATTTTAGAACTATGTGACATCCCAGAACTGTCTATGCAATTAGAGAGCCTCTGACTGCTATTTGACCTTGTAATGTAAATATTGCTGCTATGTCTGTGAGATTGACAGATAATTCCAATTTTTACATTATCACTACCTATAAAGTACAAATTCTTCTTATTGTACTTTCATTCAAACTTATTTGCAAAAGCACAGTATTGTAAAGATCTCCCTCTGTTCATTAAAATATGACTTACCTAAAATTTCACTGTACATTTTATTCCAATTTTTCTCATTAAATGTTTCAAACCAAAAGTCAAAGTAAAGCATGCAGATCATGTTTTTCACTCTTTCTATGAAAGTCATTTGACCACTTAAGCCTGACAACATAACAGGTACATAAGAAGGAGGAAGTGGAAGCCCTCCTGCTACTTTTTCTACTTGGAATCCAGGGGAGAAGCGAAGACTGTACACGAAGGGTAGTTTCAAAAGCTCAGCCACCAGCTCACCACAGGGAGCAATGGGATCTGCGAGAAGAACATCAAATTTTGATTCTTGTAGTTTTGACATAAGCTTCTTATTTGAAACTACATCTTTACAAACATTCTCCCAAACACTTGAATATTTCATTAAAATGTTTTCAGCCACTGGAAAGTATTCCAAGCATGTGTTTATTGGTAGAATATCCATCCACATAGTGATCATTTCATTGTATAAGTTTTTCATTTGTTCTTCACTGGTAGATGTAGCAAATGTTTCAAATTTAATACCAGATGGTGCACTACCATCAACAAAAATGAAACTTGAAGGTATCAGAACTGTCACCTCATGTCCTCTCTGGATGAGTTCTTCTAATATGTTCTTCATAACCAACCAAGGGCTGTATTCCATGGGCCATACCAGAACCTTTCCACAGCTACCAGAGTGGAAATAACTGCAAAATTGTAGCAGTAACAGAGTTGAGATCCACTTCATGGACATTTTTGTAAAATGTTCTATTTCCTTTCATATTGTATAACTTTCTGCTGTTACTCCAGTCTACTTACATGGAAAATTTACCCAAGAAGTTAAAAGATAACTCAGACTGGTCAAAGTAAATACATCAAACTGGCCGAGCATGAGGATTGGTGCAGACAGAAATACAAATGTGAATTATGATGTGTTTTTATGAAAACATTTCATTTCTCTTATGATTAAGTGATTTCAGCTAGTTTGAACCCAAAGACCAGCATGTGTCAGACATCTGGACTATATAACCAATGTAAATATCATACAAAACCAGTGACAAATGCACAGAAACTAAACTTGCTGTGATGTAACATAGATCTAGTGATACAGTACTTAAACTAGTGAAATGCAATTCTTGAAACTCATGACTCAAAAAAAGGGGGGAAGGCAAAATACCTCACTGGACTAAGTGCCTGTTTAGGAAAGCACAGGTACAAGAACTTGATCAACAGCACCACATGTCAAACTGGTCCTGCCCCTCAGGTGTGCTCAGCCTGACTCCAGGTATGGTGGTGCAAGGCTGTAATCCCAGTGCTGGCGAGGCTAAAAGCTAGACTATCACTATGAGACTGAGCTGCACAATGAGACCGTGCCCCAACCTCTTTAAAAGTGATAATAATAAACAATAATAGAAAGAAGAAAATTTTAATTTATTTTAATTTATTTATTTATTTATTTATTTATTTATTTATTTTTGTGGAATGGGAGATTGAACTCCAGCCCTTGTTCTTGCCAGAAAAGTGCTTATTTCACTGAACCATCTCCCTATACAACAAAATTTTTTTAAAACATATGACAATAAATTTTATAAGAATTGTGATGAGATATAATGCAGATATATAAAATTAAATAAAGGATTTTCACGTGCCATTTACTGTTTTTTAATACAGTTACAGGAACATAACATTAGAAGTCTCAGGTTTAAATCATCTTGATACTCTAATAACTTTTTTTGTGTACTCTCTCTTTAACAAAATCAAAACAAGGAAAAACAGCAATGATTACTCTAATATTTTTAAGGAAGAGTGCTAAAGTAAAGGGAAGATGTGGCAGGATGTGAAGAGCACAGATATTCACAATGGCCACATAAAGAAGAATACTATGCACACAGCTTTCCTCGACCTGTGGTTTTTCAGAACAGAGAATGGCTTTGTAAGAGGAACAGAATTAAAATCCTTATGAATTGCTATTCAAGCTACAGACACATGAAATGTTTGCTATTGGAACATCTGTGAGCTGAGGTGAGTTTGATGACCTGCCCTTTTATCTCAGTATTGCACTCCTGTAAACAAAGAATTTTTACTGTGTCACATGCTTTACTACCTACACTCATCTTACAGGGGACTCTACTACCTGCACATTTGGAGGGTTTTATGCAGTAATTTGCAAGCTTTCTACTTTTTCACTTTGCTTATCTCTGAATCCCAATCTATTGTTCCTGTGGAATCTCTGTAGCTCTGGAAGCCCTAGCCTGTGTGGCTCTGCTAACAAAACAAAAAATAATGTGTAACTAGTCTATATTCCTGCTGCTTTTCACATCCTTGGTATTTTCCTGTCATCTGTGCTGGACACTGCCACATAGATGAGTTTGTACTATGAATATTTTGGCTCATAAAAGCTTTTAGAAATAAATAGTCAGCAGCATTTACAGATCAAAGACAATTCCCCATGAATGGGACACACATTGGAAGTTCATTCATCTTCATCACCAAACAAGAACTGTGGTTTTTCTTCTATAACTGACATTTGCTGTATATTCTTTTGCAGTTAACTAACCAGTTTTACATTTTCTCTAAGTCCCCCATACAAACACCAAGCCACACATACCTCTATTTCTCTTCAGGGTATCCACTCACTTTCTTCAAGTGTGCACATTTAAAATTATACCTAATAAATATATTTTTGTTACTTACTGATAAATCTTTTGTTAATATGATGGGAGTAGTGACACTGCACTTTCACCCAGGCATGGGACAAGACATGGCTTCCCTATCTCCACTTCCTAGATGTCCTTGTATCTGCTCTGGAGAGTTATCTTAATTCTAATGTTTCAATGTACCTAATTAAAACTAAGCATGGTGGTGCATGTCTGTAATCCTAGTACTTGGGAGACTGAGACAGGTGCATCACTTGTGAATTTGATGCCAACCTGGCCTAAATAGTATGCTCAAGATCAACCTGAACTACATACTGTGACTCTATACCTAAAACAGTTGAAAATAAAGAAATTGCAAAAGCTTCATCAATCCTTGGAAATTAAACAGCGCAACAATGAATAATCTATTGAACATAGATGAAATTTAAGAAAATACTTAACAGTAATTACAAATGAAAATTCAAGTGCCAGCCAAATGGCTCAGCAGATTAATGTGCCTGCATATAGGTGTGCAGGGGTGGGTGGTTCGATCCCCAGGCCTATCATGCCAGCCTGGCCCCAAGGCTCACTGAGACATCAATAGAGCCTGGACATGGTTCACGTGCCTGTAATCCCAGCACTTGGGAGGATGTAAACAGTTGGATCACTACAAGTTGATCTAGTAATGTGACCCTGAACATGCTATAGACCCTTCCTTAAAATTAAAAAAAAAAAAAGAAAAATAAAGGAAAGAAAATTCAGATGTAACTTAACAGAACTTCTGGGGTGCAATGGATGTAGTCCTAAGAGAAACTTATAGCAAGAAATTTCTCATCAGATAAAAGAACAAGCACAAATACACAATATTGTAATATATGTTAGTATACATACTAAGGTACTAAACAAAAATTAATTAAAGCTCAAAGAGGCAAAGAAACTGTAAAGATCAGAAAATAAGTTTCTCAAAAGAGGTTAATAAATCAATACAAAAAATGAGTCAAATTGAAAAACTAAATAAAATTCATAAACACCTGTAAAACCTTATCAAAAAAGAAAAAAATTCAAATCCATGTAATAAGAAATGAAATCAATAACTGCTGTCATGCAACAGGTATTTTCCATCAGTCATTGATATGTTAAACTTCAAATCCTTACAGAATGTGAAAAAAATAAGTAAAAAAATGATGATAAAAATAGAAATAAACAATAACAAAATTTTATACAGAAATTTAGAAGTCTAACCATATACAATATTGTAGCAGGACAGTCCTGTGACATTTTTTGTGTGTCTTCTTTCATTTATTACCTTTTTTTGTTTTTTCTCAACAAACATTCACTTGAGAGAGAGTACAGCAGTAATTGCTATGACATTAGAAGCTGTTATCTCTAAGGTGTTTGATATTCAAGCAGATACTAATGTTAAGCTCAACAGCTTATGTTTTAGGGTAATAATATCATTAAGCTTCCTTTCTGGAGGGCTAACAACTTCAGTTTTTAGAATATTAGAGAAAAAGAAGGGCTACATGGACTGTCAACATTGTGGCACTAATACTTAAAGGTCAGTTAGAACTCAGGTCATAATAGAACCTCTAATGTAGCATCTTATAACTTAGTGGTGCCCCAAATTTTCTAATCAAGAAGATGATGGGACCACAGAGGATAGTGATCGATGAAGTACAGTGTCCCTGAAGAGAATCACGTAGAGAGAAAATGTTCAGTCTTTCACAGAGATTGGTTTTCGGTTCCACAGTCGCCATCTTAGATCGATCCCTCACAGAGAGCAAATTGGTCAAGCAATGGCTATTCCTCATCCACATGGCTGACACTGACATAGGATCTACAAATTTCTGTGCAGCATTTCAGGACAAATCCTGAGGGGGTTCGACTGACCTTGTCAGATACAAGCATTACAGTTTTTGGTATATAGTTCTTGCTTTATCTTGGTCTTAGCCATCCAGCAGAAAAGCATAAAAATGGGGCATAAAAAGTAAAACCAATATTAATATGCTGAGCTGTAAAAGGCTCAAGCTAAAACTTCTGACATTGGTAGTCTTGTGGGTAACCCACTACTATTATGGACTATTGGACTTATTGGATTACTATGTTGAATTCATGCACATAGAATATATGAATGGTAATGTAATATCCATCTCTGACAAAAGTAAACAAAAAGGGGATATAAAAGAAGGACTATTTTGGATCTATATATATATATCAGCATAGATATACAGTTACTTTCTCTTAGTTCAATGAGAAGAAAGGTTTGAACTAATAATATTTAGAGAAGATATCATGTATGAATCTTGTACTATGAGTAACTATTATGAAGACAATATGCAATTTTTAATTATTGTAACTGTCCCACTGACCAGTTTTGAAACTGTCTCATTGTTATTTCTTTCTCAATAAAATTAATAAAATAATGTTACTGTCACATGATGTAAAAAACAAGGAACAGATTCTTAGGTATAAATGAATGGCTAAAACTAAAAAAGGAAGAGAGAAAAATTGTCAGTATTTCAACTTCAGGCAATGAAGTTGAAAATGTAATAAAAAACCTACCAAGAAGAAAAGGGGCCAGGTCCTCATGGATTTATAGCTGAATTCTACAAAAAAATTTCAAGACATTTTTATTTCAAGTACTCTCAAAACATCTAAAGATATTTGTAGTGAAACAACTCTCCTAGGTTCATTTCTGGAGGTATTACTCTCATACCAAGACAAGAGCAAGACCCAACCACAAGAACTCCAAGCCAATCTTCCTAAAGAACATGTATGCAAAAACCTCAATAAATTGCAATCAAACAGAATGCAGCAAATCATGTACAAAATTATATACTATGAACAGGTGTTATTCATTCCAGTAGTTCAAAGATGGTTCAATATGTGCAAATTCATAAAATAATATAGTATATTAACAAGCTGAAAGAAGACAAACATATGATCATCTCAATAGATGCAGAAAAATCTTTTGACAAAGACTCATTCGTGATAAAAGAAAAATCCCTACAGAAAATTGAAATAGATTGTCTTTATCTCAAGCTAATAAATGTTATCTATAAAAAGTCAGTAGCCAACATTATATACTAAATGAACAAAAAACAATGGCCTTCAATTTA